TATATATATATAATTTAGATATAGCAGCAACTTCTGTGGTTAAAAGCTATCAAAAAATATTTTAAAAGCATCCTTGCAATTTTACCTCTTCATTCTTGGCTATTTTAGCATAATTTCCAGCTTTGTCACAATTGTCACTATCGACTCCTTAGACTTCAAGATAGATGGAGAATTGATGAGTATTGAGTTACGCTGATCAAGTGTATCAGCTCAAAATAAGCTTGAGCTAATTGATTGCAGCATTCGGCAAATTACGAGCCAGTGGAGACTAGCTGCTAATATTATCGTCATTTACCTTCAGCAACTGCTCCTCTTCACTATGCATCAAATAATTCATTCCAGTTCTGCTAACACTGTAGCATAATATTTGTGGTCCACTGTTGAAGGCATATTATCGCTTACCATGAGCTTAATCGTCACTAGTTCATTTAAAACATCATTTCATAAAACCCAATACTCTTCAGCAAAGTTTCATGTAGTGCATCAAATTATCAATCCATAATTGACATCATACATAAAACATTCTGAAACAAACAAAGAAATCACTGAAGCAAAACTTACTGCTATCAAATAAAATAGCGGAAATGCCATGGCACCTGAATTAAGATAGCTTCATGAGATTGTGAATACAAATTTAGTCTCTCTAATTTTATTTCCGAATCACTTTCAGACTGTTTTTTAAAATACCAAGCATAGTTCTGTCACAGGCTTACAGCAATCTTAGTAGTCCAAATTACTTCTGTGATCTGGAGAGTAAATTTAAAAAATTAAGAAAAAGTACGATTGTAATACCCCACAGTTGTTCTTGGTGTGGAGTATTTCACAAGGTTTATAAGAATAAATGTTGGAAACTGAAGAATATTTCTTTACAGTGTCGAACCATTTTTGTCTTGTTATCAAGTTTGAATTTAAATATATAAATACTTTTCAAGTGAAACCCCTTGTCCTAAATAGTCTTCTCAAGACGTTTTCTTGTTTTGTGCGTGATCCCCAACATACCAACCCTATTTACTTGTTTGTGACTTGTATTTCATCCTTCTTAATTTAAATAATTTTGAAATAAGTGTACATGAAGAACACAGGAGGAATCTCAAGGCTCCTATAACCAAAGTTTTAATGGAAAACATGCTTAGGGTTGCCAGCAATGCACTGTTGAAATATGCGTGAAGTCATGTCGTTTGTAAGCATGGAAGGAATCAATTCATCAAATTGATAAAGTGGAGCACTTAATAGCACTTTAATAAACTGTTAGAATTCTGGATTTCAAGCATGTATATTTGAGCATATGATATTAACAATTGTCGAGAATCCGGCAGCTGCATTATAATGTGAAAACAGAGCCACCGTTTAGTTTTCTTTTTCATACAATAATTTTGTATAGAAAATGACCTTTACATAACAATACACAGTATACTCATTACTAACTATATCATTCCCATAAACATCCTGTTCCGTAATAGCAAAGAAAGTCATTTGAAAACACAAATAAACCACTGACAAAGCACTAACATTATAATTCGGTTTTAAAATGCACTGTGATACCAATATTAAGTGACATGAGCAGTTCACACATCAAATACAGTCAATGTGAGCAGGGCTAACTGTAAAACAGCGTCAAACTGCAATAAACAGCATACGAAATAGTCAACTTGAATTATTACTTGGCGTAGAAGTCTGTGTATTTAACCACCATGTAAAGTCGATATGAATGAGATCACGTCACCCTGTTTAAGAATCGTTTTAGGACCTTGCAACAACTCCCAATCCACTTCATTGACAAGAACTAATATACCAGATCGAATGTTTTTACCACCATTTTCCACAAATAGGTTAGCTCTTGGATTACCTACCATTAAATTATCATAAATGAATTGCAACAGATCAACAATTAAAATGGGTCCAGATTTGGTTGGTACCTTGATATGCAGCTCTTTCTGCATGTTAAACAGCGTTTCTGTACCACCAGAAAACTCAAGCTTCAAACTCATTAGATCCATCTCAAACCTGAAATGACTTTTGCTTTTGTATAGAACTCTTGCTATATGAACAATTCCAATTACAGTCAAGGACACAAGTATATCAACCTACATATTCAAAATGTCTATCAAATACGACAGACCGCCCTCAAAATCATTCAAAAGATAATTACCACAACTACCATCGATCACAGTATCGAAAGCCAAATACTTGGCTCCCATTATGCATAGCGTCAGCTTTTAATGCGGCCTAGATTAATGTTTTTACTTTGATATAATTTTGAGAGTTAACTTCCTGTGTCAATTTCCTTTTCTTGCAATTTTGCCTTTGTAGTAGCTGTGTACTACTCGTGACACTGAGCTGTCATGTTGATAAATGTGTAGTGTAGGATAGTCGATAATTTGGAAATGATAGAAATCTTTATGTGGCTTGAGAAATGACACTGTCTTCTATAAGCTTGAAATTACTTAATTAACTCTTCAAATTTTATTATGGAGAGAATATGTCATTATCAAAAAGTTATGCAGCAAAAGGACTGTTTGCAAGCGCAAAAGAATGAACAATTCAAAGAATATAATGCTTCACTCAGTGAAAATCGAAAGTGTGGATGATAGTTCACAAAAGAATGCAACTTATTTGCGTAATTCACGGTCGAAATCTTGGCGTTTGATTGTCCGTAATTTGCCTTTTAAGGTAGTTAGTGCTAAATATCTTATTAACTGCCTTTTTATCTATTTTTGCGTGTTAATCGAAAGAGTAGCAGCTTATGTACTTTAATCAAATAATTATTACGTTTATTACTTCCAGTAACTCAAATTTTAGTTAACGGAAGAAAAGTTGAAGTCGGTATTTGAAGCTATTGGACCTTGTACAGAATTTGTTTTACCAAAATGTAAAGATAAGCGCTTTCCAAATTCGTGTGCAGGTTTCGCCTTTGTTCAGTTTCAAAAACGTGCTGATGCTGTGAAAGCGATTGAGGTACTCAATATGACGGAGGTCAGTAAAAGAAATTGCCTTTAAGAGACTGTTTTCTGTTCGAGGTGTCTTGAAATCTACTATTATATTTGTAGAAAATTGAATATACAGAATTGGTTTAATGTTTAGTGCTTCTAACACTTTAATAAAGTCTTTGCTTAGATATTCGGTAGGAAAGTTGCGTTGGATTGGGCGTTGTCAAAGGATTCTTATGAAACAGCCGTATACGAAGGTTTGTTTATTCAAAATATTCCAATAACTTATGTTTCCAGTACGCGTTTTCCATTTATCGAATAAATTGCTTTGCATCTGGAATAGGTAAGCTGCTTATTTGCTAGATAGTTTGAAGTTTGGAATCAGTCATATATTTGGAGTCAGTTTGATATCGAACTGAAACAATATGAAGTGGTTTAGGAAAGATGTCATATTTTGAACTTTCGATTTGAAATCCATTTTTGAAAGATTATGTTTTTCTTCAGAAAGGAGCAACAGTCAACAAGTAAAGAAAAGGGTAAAAATAAAAATTGAGTCTAGTGATAGCACGGATGAGAGCAAACAACAGGACGATATAAAGGTAATAAAAGATAAGGATAAAATTTTTTCCGATGAAGGTGAAAGAAGAATTGAATGTGATGAAGTCAAGCACAGCTTCAAAGAGGATGAAGCAGTCCTTGAGGGGCGAGTTTTATTTATCAGGTGACTAATTCTATCCCTACTCAAAAATGACTTGTCAGATATTTTTATTTTTCGAAAATTGAAATAACTTTGCTACAAATTAGGCATAAGGAAGGTGAGCGAACAGTGTTAAGTGTACATTCAGATTTCGTTTTGATGAATTATAAATGAGTTAAATAAGATGTATTTAGTTGCAAATATTATTCTAACTGAAACGCCTAGTAGCATATTCTTCAATAAAATGTCTTTAAAATATAGTTCTTTTAGTTTAAAAGCAGGAGCATTTTTTTTTCAGTGATTTTAGTATAAGGGAATTACACAAGAATCATTTTTATAGAAACTTGTCATATGATACAACTGATGAGATGTTGAAGGAAGCTTTTTCAAAATTTGGAACTGTTTTATTGGCAGTTATTTGTCGATACATGGGTAACGAGCATTCAAAAGGGACAGCTTTTATACATTTTCAAACTGCTGAACAAGCGAATGAGTGCCTAAAAACTATCAGTCAGGTACTGTGGATATTTTATAAAATTGGAGAAAGTACTTAATTCCATACTTCCATTTTTAACTTTACCAAATTAATTATTTGTTTAAAAGTTTATAAATTAGTTTGTTTACAGATGACTCTGAATGATTCGATATTTTGTCATCCTTTTAACTCAGTAATGAATGTCAAATAGTAGTTGGACGATCTCATAATTTATTGAACTGAAGTCAAATAGTTTTAGGATCCTGGCATTTTTATTGATGGTCGTCGAGTTTTCGGTCATTGTGCATTGCCTCGAAGCGAAGCAGCTAAAATCGAAAGGGTTTTGTGACACATTTAATTTTCAAAATTTTATTTCATAGTCATTGTATCGAAAAGTTATGACGATTACTGAATAAATTTGTCAAAATTACTAAAATCTCTTCATTTACATCAGTTCTTGATTAGAATACTAGTTATTGATTATCTTTATGGGTTTGAAGGATAAATTCGCCAGAAAGCCGAGGGACAAGAGAAATCTTCATCTTTTGCGTGCTGGTTTTATACGACCTGGTACAGCCTCTGCAGCTGACATGAGTAAATCAGACACTGATAAACGTGCTCGTTTGATAATAAGTGCTCGGAAAAAGTTAAAAAATCTACATATGTAAGACTTCTTGGCTGATATGTTAATAAAAAATCACAGTGAATCATTTTCTTAGGTCGTATTGCAATTATGTAATTATTTGTATCTACTTATTTCATGAACTATTTTATGTTTTCCAAATCTGTAGGTTTGTGTCTCCAACACGTTTGGTTGTTCACAATCTACCCAAATCAATGACTGACAAAGCTTTTAAATCAATGTGTTTCATCGCATCGAGTAATCCAGATGCAAAAATAACAGAAGTTGGTTAAATAGAATGCTTTCGAAAGAGTCAGACTGATCAAAATTTAAAAGTTTACGAATTCTGTTAAAGATTAAAAATTGAATTTTCTTAGTGTTTATTATGGTTCTAGTTGCTGTAGGTGCATAGCGGAAACTGATGTGCTAACTTCTGAGCAAAATTAGTCATTTCTTTGAGTTGATGTTTTTCTGAGTTTTTGTTTTATTTCCATAAGTCTGGAAAAGACACTGTATGTTTTTCTTCGTTTTGTAAAACATATTTTAGTCACGAATTTGGCGAGACAAAAGTAGGCTCAATGCATCTGGAGAGCCTATATCGCGAGGTTTTGGTTTTGTCAATTTTTCAGAGCACAAGGATGCTCTGATGGCATTAAACAACTTAAATAATAATCCAGAGATATTCACCAAAGACAAGGTTATCTAAAGATTCGTATTTTTCTTAATATGACTTTCAGTGTAATGGAAGCCGATTTAGAACTATGAACTAGAATAATATTTTTTCTGTGACATCGGGGAAAATGAATTGCCGTCTAGTTGTGATGAATTTTTATAATCTATCAGATTATAAAAATTTTATTTAACAGTTTGTTGCAAGATTGTCTTCTTTATTTTTTCGTTATAGCATTCCATATTTTGCTCAAATTTAGTGGTAAACGCAAATGTTCCGGTTTTAGAGACCAATTGTGGAATTTTCTATAGAAAATTTGGCGGCTATTCGGCTTCGAGAGGCAAGGCTGAAAAAAACTCAGCTGAAAGAATTTAGTGACCATAACTCAGTTCATGATAAAAATAAACTGGACCTAGAACAGACAAAGCGATATCTTTCAGCAGGTGGAAGGAAACCTTTGCCTTCTCGTTTGGGACCTAAAATACGTAGAAAAGACACAAATTCAAAGATAATTGAGGTAAGTGTTCAACATTATCAGCCTAGATTTTTCCAAACTTTTGTAAAACATATTTTAGTGACGAATATGGCGAGACAAAAGTAGGCTCAGTGCATCTGGAGAGCCTATATCGCGAGGTTTTGGTTTTATCTCGTCATGTTTCATTATTTTCTGTTAAAAAATTCTAATATAATTTTCAGACAAAAGAAAAAGCGGGTGCAAAACGAAGGCAAACAGTTAATATTGAGACTGCACCAAAAAGAAAGAAGATTAGTCGCTCTAAACAACTTACGAAGTATTTAACGTTATCGAGTTGAAATGTTAATTGGAGCAGTAGATCCAGTGATACCAATTAGCAATTTATTGCCGACTCGACTGACTTTGTGGATATCTACTTATGGAAATGCTTTGATGCAAAAGTATTTGTGGGTGGAATTTGAATTTGATAAAAATAATCAGTGTATTTGAATTTGATGTTAAGTGCCTCAGTGATGAATATACATTTATGGAACAAACTTTATTACACATTTCTCATAGAATTGCTAAAAATTTGTTGTTACTTTTATTCATGAGAGCTCATTTCGTTGAAGCTATTGAATTTTTATTTGCTTTTACTCTTTTGTCTTTTGTTGTTTCTCTATGGTTCATTATGAAATAAAATAGTTATTAAATTGGCACTGAATTATGTAGTTTATTTTGTAGTGATCCAATATTTGGACAAGAATTTATTTTTAGTATGTTCTAGAACTATCTAGAATATAGTGTGTAATTATATACTTTCTAATTTTCGGCAATGCAGTCAGTCTTGTCCGGAATTTCATCTTTTCTTGTGTGCTTTTAATCCTATAAACACTAGATAGGATTTTTCCTCTTTGCTTGTTGCTACTGCAATGAACTTTCTGTATGTCATGTTTTTCCTGTGAGAGTTAGTAGGTTTGCATCTCTGTTAATGCTGGTATTGACCTTTCTACTGAGGTTTCGTTCCATTATTAGTGTGCATTCATGGTGTAACTGTTGAGAAAAAATGTAGGTTAGTGTTAGTAGTAACTGGATTTGAGTGAATTGATCTCTGTGTTCTTTTTCCTCAAAGTAATGCAAGCAAGCATTTTTCCAGGGGAGTCTGATTCCAATTATGAGTTAACAGTACTGGTTGATAATATCTTTTTTGGATATGAAGTTCGCGACATTTATGGTTAATTAAACGTGCAAAAGTGACATTAAAATATTTACAAAAATCTCAAAACCTTGCGAACTTCATCTTTGATGGAAAGAAGTGCAATTTAAAGGCGAGGTGAGATGAGACGTATACATATTTTAATCCTTAGTTGCTACACTTTATTTCTAGGATGTGTCCTTGGCTTTGTGGTTCAGAAATTGCTAACGAGATTCGTTTGGTACTGCGGATCAATAGTGATCACGTAACATTGGAAGGATTACGACGAGCACTTTACAATTTCTTGTTTAGTCGGTTCTATAATGGCAAGTTTATTTTGCAACTTGGTTTGAATAAACATGGAAGACAACCACGAAGCAAAAAGATTGAAGCCGTATTGGAGAGATTCGGATTGGAGCCAGATGAAGGGCCAGGAGCAGGTGGACCATTTGCTCCTTATTCTGTTTCTAAGCGTCAAAAAACATATGCTGATGCAGTTGAACGCCTTATTAATACTGGTATAGCTTATCGATGTTTCTGTTATGATGACACGTGGAAAGATGTAGATCCAATGAGAAGAGTACCGGCACAGATATTTCCTTGTATGAAAAAGTGCTTCGATAAAAGTCGCTTTGACTCACGCAATATGGCATCAGATGGCCTGGCATATGTTGTACGTCTTAGGATACCCAGTGGGACATACATTTATCGGGATGTTGTACAGGGTGAGTTACCAAGACGTGTAGCAGCAACTGATCAGTTATTATTACGACCCGATTTCATGCCTACATCATTTTTTGCTGACGTTGTTGACAATCACACACTCTGCGCAAGTCATTATGTCGCTTCCTCCTCTCGTGATTTTCTTCAGCTTCCTATTTGCGACGCATTGCAGTGGCGGGTCCCGACATATATCAATATTGGAAGTCTGCGACTTCGCATTGGTTCACGTTTATTAACATTTAGTGATGCTCGAAGTTACGTCAGGTCTTATAGCTCAGTTCATGAATTATCTATCTTGAACTTTTTGTTAGCTGGTCGTGGCGTAAACAGAAACCTTGATAACAGCGTACGTTTGTATAGTATTGATGAAATGATTTCTAAATTTAATGTAAATACCATTACTAGTAGAACGTTGTCAATTGATACATATAAATTGATGAAGCCAGAACGACAAGAGATCTTATTACAACAGCATCTAGATTTAGATGAAGAAATACTTTCTAATGTGATAGAATAAATTTTATGGAATGAAGTACTAATTTAGCACTCAGTTATCAGCTCTTAACTACAGTATTCTTAATATTAGTAATACATTTTCAGTTGAGATGTACAAATTTTTTTGGGTGCACTTAAGGAGGTTAATTATTTTGAACTTATCAAAAAATGGATTATCTTTGTTTGAGCTACGTTTCATTTTTTTTTTGGATCAAGATTGATGTGTTAAGTTTCTATGACATCATTAAAGTCCATTTTTTTACTTCGTCTGATACAGATTTGCTCATATTTAACTGATTATGCATATTCATGCGTTATAAACTTGTACTATCATTTTTTCTCAATTACTTCATCTTTAAAATGCCGATTTCGTTATTTTAATGCTCTGTTCATGTGTGTAGATTAATTTATCTTTATCAGAAATCGTTAATTGCATTATTGTTTGGTAAGTAAAAAAGTATGATGAATAAAGCCGTACTTGGTCATCTGAAAACTGAAACATTGAATGGTGTGGTGATAATCCTCTGATACAAACAAGTAATGCATCAAGTTGATGCCAAGGCTTCTTCTACTGTATTGAATTTAGTTTTTTAATATTTTGAGGTTCTGGTGATTTTTGGAGCAATAAGACCAAGCATTTATATTTTGTTGGGATTTCATACTACTGAAAGTTTTAAGGGGACGAAGATATATTGAATACACTTCTCCCTCTAAAGGTGTGATCAATGTAACCTTTGAGATGAGCAAAGTTTAATGAAGGAAATCATTTAATGTGTATATTCTTTCTGCAATATATGTTCAGTAGTTGCTATTAATAGTGTTGTAAGTTGGGAACATTATGATCAAATCTTCGATTACTGAAAATTTCGATATTGAGTTTCGATTACGGAAATTTTTGTTGGAAGAAGTGCGCAGAATAGATGTGCGATATGAAGATTATTGGATCGAAAAGCTGGTGAAAGCCATTCCAAAAGGTTTTTTAATTTTGTTTAGGTGTTGTGTCCTGTTTGTCTATTCGTGCATAGTAAGCTATTTTTTCTCTGTGCTTAATGTTATAAGCGGCATCAAAATTCACGCTCTGAAAAGAACATATTTGTGCAGATTGATAGATACTGAAATTAATTGAGTGAGCAAGAGCCTAGTATATGGTCAGAAGGTCCAATAATACTTGTAATAGATTGTATCAGACACTCATTAACTGCTGTGGGATTGTCAAGTTTTCCGTAATTTCAGACAGTAGAACAAATAATGCATTAATTGAGTCATTACAACTGGTAGATGGCGAACTGCTTGTCGAAAGTAACTTCTATTTAGTTCATCTGAGCATAATTAACGAGGTCAGTTGTCAGTACTCTCCAATTGTACGTAATGTAAGATGCTTCACATAGCAAGAATGAGCTTATGCTTAAAGACGATAGAATTTGATCACTGCCTGGGCAAGTTTTCTCAGTTTTGTTGCCGCTGTAATTGGAATATTCTTAGGATTTTAATTTTTACGACTTTTTAGATAGTATCTAGTGGGGATAAAAATTTTTGGAAGAACAGTTTGGTCAGGAATTTTGTTAATCAGCTCTCTGCAAATTCAAGTTTTGATGACTGCATAGTTATTATGAATGTGTTGTTTATGCTTTACTGCAGTTTAGAAGAAAAGGAATTCTTTTACGATCATAAAGAAGGTATCATTTTGGTTTTATAACTGTATTGTCTTTCTAAAATTAATCCAGTCAGAAAAGAATAAACTTTAGGCATGTATAAAGTGAAGTGAGATCAGTGTATGACATCAAAAAATAAGTAATTTGAAATTTGGAACAAAAATAAAGATAAATATGAAACGGCAGATAAAGATAAATATGAAAGGGGCTGTTTGAAGAACATTTTACTTAGGTAGAATTATTATTTTTGATCTGAACTCTTCTAACGAGACGAACTGATTATTGTTGGGCCTATTTTTCACCATGAATTGATTAGCATGAACTATTAAAATTATATCATTTGGTACCAAAAAAACCGAAAAATGACCATGCTTAAATTGTGTGTCTACAACTTACTACAACATCTACTACGTTTACTATAGAATAATGGTACTTAATGAGCTAAAAAATTTTCTTTTAAATTTTCCAAAAAATCTTTTTAGAAGTGGTCCAGAAAGCTATCCACTTGTTGTATAATAAGTCAAATGCAGTCCTGACAAGGACTATTTGCAATTACTTGGACAAAGTGTTTTCAAGGGAGTATAATGTTCGTTGGGTTTGCAGTGTTATTAAACTCTTGAAAGTAGCCTATACCGAATCATTGCATGCAAGTGCTTCTGAATTGCGGAAAAGGTCACATATTCCTAGTAGTTTTCTACTGAAAGTATTGAAAATTCGGCTCACAGTGTTTTTGCTTTAGAATTTATCCGCATCATCTAATTTTTCAGTCATTGAAATTCCTGAAAGTTTGATGCATATCACTTTGGGTTAATATTACCTACTGTATCTTTATCTCAACAACTTATAGATTACCGCAGTTACTTTTACGGGATCCAAGTGTGCTATCTGTTGAGCAGATGGAGGGAATTTTTTCATGGGCAAAGAATGTTAAAGATCGGTCTAAACCTGTCATTTTTACCGATCGTGAAGTAGTGTCGACAAATTTTTATTTCGCTAAACTTTTGGCGAAACTTTTGTGAGTTTATATCTTTTATTGAATTTGTAATCCTAAGCACTGGTTTTGCAATGAAACAGATGTTACCTCACAGGTCCGAAACAATGTTGAGAAATAGTTTGCCGACATTTTTTCTTGTTGCATTTTTGATCTTGATTTTTAGACAAAAAACAAAAATGTCATGTTTATGAGACTAATGTATGATCGCTGAGAAGAAATTGTTTTTCTCATTATAATATGATATTCTTAGTGTTGTAGGTACCTGAAACAAATTGATAAAAAAGTGCTTTCGGATGATTGGTGTTCTATTCATATCAGAAATGAAATCTTACTCCATCTGGTTGCTTTGTAAGCTTTCTGTACTTGGTGTTATGTTTCTTTTTTTAAAAGATTTTTTAATCGATGCGTATATGATATCTCTAATTATACGCATATTTATTATTACAAAAATTATTACAAAAAATAATTGTGGTGTATGAGCTGGATGAATAACTTGTTTTATGGGAAGTAACAAGAATTTTCGCTTATAAAATTTTGTTGTACATTAAATCTATCACATAAGAAAGAACAGTAAATAGGTCGAAAATGCTTTCATTTTCTAGAGCTATGAATATTATTTACTTTATCATCTTATTAAGAAATGTTGAGGTAATATAATTTAGGGGACGTACGGAGCTAACTGATCTTTTATTGAGTAGTTCAAGCTTGAGTTTACTGGACTTGATAAGGTTGAAGCATTTCGTGGACAAAGTTGGTTTTATTTCATGTGTTCTCTTCATTTCTCTTTGAAATTAGTTCATATGTAATAATACATGAACTAAATAATTCAAAAAAAGATTGTTTTGATTCCACGGTGTATTTGACACATCTTTTTAAAATTTGAAATTGCGATCAAGAGATATTTGTTATTACGTCGCGTACTGCCAAAAAAGAATTTCTATTTATTTTCACGTGTTAGTGATTTTTTTTAACGGACGAAGCAGATTATTTCGATCGAGGGATGTCGATTTTGCTTAAGGACTGTAACGCTCGATTAGCTTGCAAATTCATTGAAAGTCTTGACAGCCCAACATTAGCTATGTTAAATGAATTGTATGATGTTTTGGAGCATCATGGCGTGGTAATTATTTACATTGGAAGTAATCTCATCGTAGATTTGATGAAAAATTATCTTTATACCGTAGAAATTAGTAGAAATACCAAGGTTACAAATATTCATATCTAGCAATTGATGTGATATGGTTATGCGATTAATTTACTTATCGATCCTTTGTATTTTTTCTCATAAGTACTGTACTGTATTTTAACTCTTACATGATCATAAGTTGTCAACATTTGAATACAAAACAGCCGAATGTAGAAAAAAAGATCGGAACATACAATGCTATGACTTTATCATATATGCAGCTAATTTCCAGATTAGTCCTTCAGTTATGAATTCGCTACTAATGAAATTGGAAGCTTGGAATAATCTAATGATTCCGATTCTAGCTACAAAAGCAGTCAAGGAGTTGAATTCATCAAATTGGGAATCTAGAGATGATGCTTTACATAATTTGACTTTGCTAGTAAAGTACGGCTATAAGTGTGTAGGTAATTTTTAAGTCTAATGTACTATCTCCCAAAGCTTGAAGCTTCTTTCATCACGTAGATTTTTTAGAAAATGTGGAATTGATGGTGTTAGAGTTTCTGACAATTTTCATGAAAAATTCAGTTAAAATTGATTGCAAACTTGTTTCTTTAAGATATCATAGATCATATTGTCGGTATGGCTAAGCAAGATGCTGAGCCTTATGTTCGCGGGGAAGCTCTAGTTTTTCTGCATCAGAATGGAAATTTGGAGGATGTTATGCGTGTGGCTGTAGATGTGGTGCTTACAGATTCTGACCCAGTACCAAGGTTTGTTCCTTTACTTCCATCACTTTCTCTTACGCTTTTTTCGAAGTTAATATTTGTTTGCTTGCAAATAGTTAGTGCGAAAAAATTCGTTTGTTCAATTACTTGTCATTTGCGTACAAATGAGGTTCGTCTCGAAATTAGTTTCTATTTATTATGCTTATCTTATAAATAATTTCGTCTCGAAATTAGTTTCTATTTATTATCATATTTGCATTTATTATGCTTATCTTATAAATAATCCTTATATAATTTGAAAAGGCTCCTAAACTTAAATAAGTAATTTGGTTCTCTAAGTCACCAGATACTTATATTCGCATAGTGACTCTAGTTAATGAACTTGTCACTGATGAAGTTTTATTTATGTTATACATAGAGTGTGAGATCCCTTTGTATGTTCTTTTATACTCTAAGATTACTGAGCTCAAAATCATCGCATGTACACAGTACGTTTCTCATCTCTTTCTCCTAAATTTTGAAATATTTTCATGTTCAGAATCGAAGCTCTTCATATATTAGAAAATAATCTACCGTATTCAGAAGAATTATGTCTTAATATAATACCAAAAATTTTATACGATGAAGACATTGCACTTCACCGTAAAGTCATAAAACTTTGCGTGAACTTGATCGTTGGTGGTAAAAACCAGGAACTTAGAAATGTGCTGATAACGTTTCTTGAGGTTGGTTCATGAAGTATGTTTTGTGTATATACCGCTAACAAAAATACTGAAATAGTTTTTTGTTTATAAATTAAGCGATGAGATATTAGTTCTTAATGCATTGTGCTTCAGAAAAAGAAATTTGGTGTTTGCTAGCCACATATGATTACTAATTTGTAACAGGATGAAGTTGATTGCTACGAAGAATTGAATGAAGCTTTATATGGCAACAACCAAAAGCTATCTGGTCAAAATAAAGAAAATGATGAATTAAAATATTTATTCAGCGTTTTAGAACAACAGAATGCGGAACAGCATGACAAGGATTGTTACGACTTGTAAGTGCTATATGAAGAAAAGTAAGCGGTTATTGATAACACATTTGCAACTGAACTTGATGTGTGTTAATAATATCATTAATGTCGAATTATTTCTTTAAACATATACAGTCTTGTTTGTCAGTAATATGAAAGAAAAATTGGAGAATAGTAAAATGAAGGTCTTTAGCTTTGAAATTTTAATCCTGATTTAATTTAAAACAATGACAAATGCATAAAATGATAAAACCTTCGCTTTTGCGTCAATACGAAAGATATTTTTCTTTACCTTGTTTTGCATTTTAGTGAGACTTACTGGAATAAATATTAGCTTTACTAGCCGTGATTATAGATCTTATATGAGTTGTAACATATTAAAATCAAGAAGGGAAACACATACTTGATTTATCATTAAAGAAATTATTATTAAAGACCAGTGACTACTAGTCAGCTAGAACCAGTGAAAAACTGAATAAAATTAAGATCACGAGAAATTGCACAAGTTGGCGAATTAAATGATCAGAAAACTACTAAATTTAATAATCCAATAGTCTTCGTGATTATTAAAGAGTAGCTTACGTTATAAGAAAATAGGAACAGTAACAAAGTCATATATTGGAATAGTCGACGGGATTGTTAACACGAATTTCATGAAGACATACAGAAGGCAATAATGTTTTATGATTGTATAGTTTGTGTTTAATTCAGGAAACGTATATATAATTCTGCTACTATAATTTGGTAAAGATAGGCAGTAACCATATACGTAATGGTTTTACTGTAATGTTTCTTATCACTCAAATAATTTAAAGATACACAAATAGTCGAGGGCAAATCTATTCTTAAGATATATTGAAAAAAACAGCACTGTCGATCACTTAGTCGTTAATCATGTTTTTTTTGTAATAACTTCCTGGGTTTTACGTATGCATCAAAGAAATAACGTGTGAAAAGAACAGCAAAAGATGAGTAAATAGCAAAGCCAAGTGCGAGATTATCCATTGACTGCTGACAAATCTGTAAAGTTTTTCCAATTTCAGTATCTTAATTGCTGAGGTATAATTGATAACAGCAAGGTTTTAGTCGTGACTGCACCTAGTAAGAAAATACTGTTGACACCATATTCCATTTATTATAACCACATGTTAAGGCTTTGAATTTCGACATATGTGAAAAGATAAGTCTTACTAACTTCTACATCAAAAAATCATGTTTTTTTGTTATATTTATAGACTACTAACTATTTTCTAATTCATTTCTAAAACTTAATTGAATAGTAACGAGTAATAGTGAAGTAATTATTCAAGCATCTCTTCTCTTCCATTCTCAATTGAACAGTAATATTGTACAGGAAAAAATTAACCTTACTGGAATGATTCAACCAAAAAAATGTCTAAGTTGACTTTTTAGTAAATTGCAGTTGCAAACATAATTTACTTGTTCCGTGAGGCATGCAGTAACTCTCCTAATATATATCTATGTAAAAGGAAAATATTTGTTTTCAATAAGACTTACAGCATTTTTGAGTTTCTCATTGAGAGCAATTATTGAGATCATGACACCAACAAGCATTTGAAATGTTTGTAACACAGTAACGCACATGGAGAGTAATTTAGGTGGCCGAATACCTAATGCTGTGATAGAATAATAAGTGTACATGATGGAGTGCACCGAGAAATTCATCATTATAAACCAGCGGCCGGGAGCGGTCAGTTCGGATGCTGTAACGTTGCAAAACTAAAACATGATATCTTATTATTATCACCATTGTTGCTATTACTACTGATGCCACCACTACTACAAATGATTAATTATAACACTAGTAGTCGGGGAATCCGCTTCATCTGACATAAGTGGAAAATGAGGCTTCTGATAGGGAATGATACACCCGGAAAGCTCCCTGAACACTGAAAGAAATAGTGGGAGGATGGAGCCAATCTGCTTAGTTCTTTTCTGAGTTAAATTGATAACCGTTAACTGCATTAGTAATAATAGTAACAGTAATAGCGAAGACGTGAAACGATATTCTAATTAATGATACTGATGACAGTAGAATTTACAATTTTATTTCCCTTTTATTGCAACTGTCATGTAGATGTGTATTATGGCTGCAGTTGCTATTAAAGTTGAAATTTTTGTACCGGAATTCCAACTATAAATAAGTACGACTGCGTGATGGTACCAGTGTAAAAATATTAACGGCTTTTTGCGCATAACCAAAAAGACTGTATCACCAAGTTCTGCAACTTTTGATGCTGCAAATGCGCATGCCCATGCGGCAGCTGGCTGGAATGGAGAGATGGAATAGCAAACTGAATGAACAAAAGGCCGCGTGGTCAGAGTATAATAAAATTCTTCACCGAACCTGAAGAAATTACTTGGAATATAATCCAAAAAATGACTGAATCGAAGTATTAGAATTCACTGTGTCTGCCGAAAAATAACGCAATTACACCACTTATTACTTCAATGTTCAGCACTGGCAAAAATATTTACTGCTTGCAAGTGTTAGAAGTAATACTTTTCTCAATGTGCATTTTATTCCACTATTAATTGATTTAAGCTCCTTTCTATCAGCTAAAATCAGACTATTTGATACAAAAGAATAAGATTACTGTTTCATCATGTCACATATTTTATTTACTGACTTCGTAAACGAAAATTCAGAAAATAATTAACAGCGGTAAAAAGTGCAAAGTTTATAGAGATTTAAGAAATGAAGTGCATATTGAGACATCCTTTAGAGGAATCGCAAATTTTTTTACTAACTAAAATTTCTATCATTCAATGAGTGGTGCAAGTTAGCAGCCTATATCAACAGCTGGAAATAAGCATGAATGTTGTGAAAAAAACAGTTTTCAGTACAGCCACCCATCTCCTTTTGTTTACCAGATGATTTTTTAGCAATCAATTTTCGCTACATGACATGATTAAACTTCAATTTTCAGATGATGATCTTTTTGCTATTTAACAGATATAAAATGAAAATCAGTAACCTGACAGTAGCAACCAAGCTGAATACTGACAAAGTTGCATTCCACAAACACAATGGAATACGTAGATCACAAGCCTTACGGTTCTGTTGATAACGCTGCAGTGCGTGAATTATGCATACATAAATTACGGCTATATATACTGAGGTAGTCCAATGCTAAAATTCTTGAGAGCAATGATAATGATGGTAATTTTTTTATTTATTGCAATATTTTAGGGCTGAGATTAGAATCTATTCATTATTTCTCTGAAATGCATAGGACAAAGACAGAAACTGCAATTGAAAAATCCAAGCAAATATCCAGCATGAAAACAAACAATGTATAAAATTTTTTTTCAATATAAAAAGTCAGTGGTATTTCTGCCGAAATTTGGTATGTTTCATAGCAAAAATTACTAAAGCATACTGATGATCATTTATTTCTCGCATTTCTTCACATATGCAACGGAGCAATAAGATTTAATAGATGAAAGTTTTATCAATTTTCTTAATAGAATGAAAAAGCAACAATTTTTCCAGCACTTTGAGAAAAAGTGTAAGAGAACTTTTATAAGCATAGTAACTCAAAATTTGTATCACAACAACTAGTTATGAAAGAAGCTTTACAATTGCTTTTTTCATGATTTTAGAGAAAAATTATTTGAGGATCGCAGATTCAATTTTTTAGATTCAATTTTATTACTAAGAAAAAATTTTAATTAAATGAATAAAATAGCAACAAATGGCCTCAAAAAACACAACTACATTTATTGTTAAGAAACTTACTCAACATTAATTGTCTTCAAAGCACCATTAACAAAATTTAGATGACATCTTTCGCTGCCAAACTATTTTATACTTTGCTCTCAAATTACTTCCCAGATAATTTTTTCAGAAAGTATTTAGAGCACTTTTAGAATTACTTGCAAGGAAAAAAAGTGATTTAGAAAAGTCCCAAATACAGTTCTACTCTCATTTCAAATGCTCTATCATTGTGTAAACAAGATGATTAGTAAGTATGACATGGGAATTTTTGAATTACTACTGAAGTCTATTTTTTTCCATCGAGTTGGTCATGGCGTGATTTATGCTCATAAATTTGCTTTCATTGTAATTATTTAAAAACATAGTTTACTTCCTTACTTCCACTTTATTGCATATATAAACTATGCATTTGTGCAGAATCTATAAAACGTTCAGTTTCACTCTCATTTCAAATGCTTTTCTTTCAATGACTGGCACAGAATTAATATAACTTTCAAACACCTCTTGTGCTTGGAACAAAATTGATCAAAATTTCATGAGACACAATTTGAGACAAATGCTTTCTTGAATTGAAAAAATTTTGATTGCCTATTGTGTTTCTTTCAATACCTTGTACTTCATGGCACAAAAAATTTCCGACAAGCGAAACGCATATTGCTGCAAACGATTTCATCAACAATCAGCACAAACACATGTTTAATTTATGCATCACAAGAAGCATCAGAATTATGAGTCGTATATTTCTGCGCATGCATTAAGCAAGGAGAGAGACATCATTAAAAAGGCGGTTTTTCCGACAGAAGATGCAAAGCTTACTTCTTGCTAGAATATTTTATGCATAGACAACATAAAATAAATAGAAAAACATCAAGCATTATATTTTATGGAAGCTGCTGCCATTATTTTTGTATTAGATTAATTTTACAAGTCTATTTCCGAGTATAATAAGTATTTACATATAAGGGCATTTAATTTTTCAAGGTAAAATGATAAAGCAGGTAATAAATTAAAAGCATTGAAGACAATGTAAGAAATTGTAGTTGGAAAGAGACAACAAAAAATCAAAAGTCATCATAAATTCAAAAAAGATCAGAATCAGTCAAGAGTATATAATTTCAAATAATTAAGTTTAAAATCTTAAACTAGGAAGAAAAAGTTGAAATTGCTAAGAATTATAAGTAATGTGAAGAGGAAGTTTTAGTTTTTCCATTAATTTCAGCTAAAATTTTTACTCACCAAAATTCTGGCCACATACCTTGGAGAAGAATATTTGAACCATTACAGGATTCCAATATTTCATCTCTAAGCTGTATACGTGTGTATAGTTATAAGGCGCATAAATTACTTGTTCAATTGGACCTCTCCATATTTCAAAGTGAGAATAATTGAAATCTGAGTACTCTTGCGACCTGCCCATATATGTGTCAATCAAATCAACGAATAATGTTCGTTGAATTTCTATTGCGCCAATGATCTCACAACTGCAAAACTCGATTTTCAAGCCTCAAAAAATTTCAAAGACGCGATGTAATAGACGAAGCTATTGATACATAAGCAATTTTAATGAAATTACAAACAGGAGTAGCAGCTTGCTAGAAGTTATTACAAATTTAACTGGTGAGGGGAAAATTTTTTTTTGAAGTTAATCAAAAGTCATAAACACAAAAGGATTACTTAATAAACCAGATCTAGGCAAATAAAAACCATATCTGAATAACAATATCACAAACAAATAGCAAAATTAAATCAGATTTCACCAACCATATTGCTCCTGAATAATTATTTTAAAAATATTAAATTTTGCTTTTCTATTTGTACTTGTAATTTCGACCTTTCCACTGGAAAAAAATAAATGATTTAACTTAAAAAATCAGTACCGTAACTAGCAATCTTGAATTCATTTTCTCTCAACTAAATGAATCAGTTTCTACACAATTTGGCAAAAAAAGTTCATTGAAAACTTTACAGTCATATGTGTTGCTAGCTTTTCTGTTCATTTTTTCTCTTTGAAACGAAAAAAAATGAACAGAAAAGCTAGCAGTTTTTCCTGGGCAGAAATGTAAAACGTGAAAGGGATGCAAAAGTTGTTAAAGTGTGAAAATATTGCAAAGTTTTTCTTGAAATAACAAAACAAAGACTAGAGAACGAAAGTGCTATCAAAAGGATTGTCTTCAATGAGCGAAAAACTGAAATGCACCTGTGCAACATCTCAATTCATAAGTTTATCAGTAAAAAATAAGTAAAAATGATGGAAACTGCGAAATTTTAACTGATATTGAACAGAATGTAATAGAATAGCAATTAACAAAATGAAATGAAGTGGCATATCTTTGAATATTAAAGAGATAATAAATGACTGTTTTGTCGTCGAAACGGTAGCTGGTGAGCTGATTGAGATAAAATAAGATGGAGTGCACAAGAATGTAGCTTGCAACTTAATAGATGAATGAATAAATAAATAAATTTCTCTTCTTCATCACATTCATATCGAAAATTTAATCATTATCCATAACCACCATTATTCCTCTTTATGACTGTCACTATTCATAATCACTCATTCAATACAACTATAAGCACTGCCAATAACCTTTATGACTGTTACCATTTCCAACACGATTGTTGCTATCATATGACAATTCTCATTTTCTATTTTCAAACCTTTACACCGAAAGCTTCAAGCAATTTTAGTAAAGCAATAAAGTTGCAGAAAAATCAGCTTCTTTTCTCATACACTTTTGCACTGGTCCTTTATCACTAACTATATATTTTATGTAAACAAGAAAACAAGGGAGAAACGATAGCAAATTAGTTCGGTTTTTCATATGCAAAAGAATATAAATTACCAAAGTAAATGTGTTTATTTTGGTAATCTTTCAGCGTTAGGTTTGCGGTTGAGTTCAAGCTTATTACGTTATCATGAGCTATGTCACATCAATCACTGTTCGTCAATTAAAACTACTCTGCACTCATTTTCGCCTCCTATTATTACTCACTTTTTTCAGATGTGAATAAAGATCCAAATTTCACATTAAGTAGTGAACTGGAAGAAAAAAATTTTAATTTCAGGCAGACAAGGTCTCAAAATTTGAAGTGTAAACCAAGGAAAACGTGAAAAAGTAAACAGAAAAAGTAAACAGTATAAAAATTAAAGTGAAAAAGCGACATTTTTCATAGTATTTACATGTCAGTCGTAAGTGACACGCACACAATTTAGATCTTGTGTGTCCACAAATTTACTTGCATAAAATAAAAAATCAAAGTCAGACTTCTTGTGATAACGCAGCTAAGTGCATCCTTGAGCCACAATGTTGTCAAGGTTGAAGCTGTACTATTTACATGAAAATTACTAAGCGTAGCTACAATCATTTCTTTTAGCTTAATCTAATACTTGTAAATACGTCAGTAAAATACCCTACCTCAAAATTCATGTTTAACATGCGTCTCGCATGGAATTTGCTGAACAGAATATCCAAACAGTAAAATACGTCAGTTATGTGACTTTATGCCCGGCAATAATTTGTTTTCCTAGCAAAAGCTGTACAAAGCAGAGAAAAATTAAATTTTAGAGAATAAATGACAAAAAAGAAAATCTTCTACACTTTAAATTATTGTTGACATAGGAACTTTACAGCTTAACTTTTGAAGTTGGTATTTGCGTAAAAACTTCGAAGAAGTGTGATCAATAACAATTACAGTCAGCTTACGAATAAAAGTTTTTAAGTGAAAAACAATCGATAAAATGACTGTTTTCTTCCTGAGCAATTTCTGAAAAAAATTCCATGTTATCTGAATACATTCATATCACTCAATTTATTTCATCTACCTCATCATCCATGACCACTCAACTGACACATGTCCACATCAGACTATCAAATCCATCACATGTATAGAGACCTATTCAGCTAACTATGAATGTAATCGCTCACTTACACACTAACATTTGGCTGGTACATGACATTAGCTTCACATTTCATATATTCTTAAAAAGAACCAAATTTCCAAAATGAAGTCACGTGTGGAAACATGAAAAAATACTAACAAGCGAAACCAATAAGTAAGGAGTTTTTCCGGAATACTGTTCAGTTTGTAATTGCCAAAGAGAGCTGAAATTTCGTGAATGAATTCGGGAAAGGATTTTGGGGAAGTGAGGTGAATCAATTATCCAAACAACGAAGCACACGACAATGAGCTCATTGCTTTATCAAAAATTTGCATGTTTTTATTATCGCATTGAGCTGGCTGCTGCAAGTCTCACTATCTTGCTCCTTATGCAAACTGCAGGAATTTGCATAAGGAACAATGCAAGTACTTTGGTGAAGAGTAATGATCGTCGTCTGCCGTATGCAGCAATATGGGCATGTGAGAAGAGCTGTAAGGATTTGCCTTTATTTATAGCTCATGAATACATATTTGTTATTACAGATGGAATGATATCACTGCATCATGCAGAGATCAAGTGAAGACAAACGTAGATGACTTACAAACCGGCGATTCACGCAGATGACAAACACACTCACGTAAAAAAGTGAGTCTTCATGGATATTTAAGAAAGAAAAATGCTATGAATTGTTTGGATTCATTTAAATATGAGGGAAGGCAACACAAAGCAGACGATATCTGGCTGTCACAAGCAGTGTATGTGCAGAGATAGGTGATTGAATAAATAGATAGAAAGAATGATAGATAGATAGATAGATAGATAGATAGATAGATAGATAGATAGATGCATAGATGGGTAGATAGATGGTTGAATAGCAGAATATTGGATGGAATGTATTCAACAGGTAGGTAAGTGGATAGATGAATACGCGGATGGGGAGTGAATTCGCTGTTTTGGTTAGCGTTCAATAGTTGTTCCATTTTCAATGGTACTCTACTGTACAGAATTCCTTTGTAATCTCCATCAGGCCTCTAATATTTATGGCCTTACATTCCACAAATCAGTCAGTACTCTCAATTATTTAGAACTAGAGAAAGTGGTGCAAGGACGATTTACGTTCTGGAATGTAGTAAAACACTGCTCACAAGAGATTTCGCTCGATTAAGTGTCGTATTTGGTGCATTTGTCCTTTTTCATTCTTTAGTTAAATACTTATCTGTATCAGGTTTCAGTGATCTCAATCATCATCGCAGTGAATGCTTCGATATTAAAAATCCTTATAACATTAATGTACATATTAGTAATAGCAGTGATGAGCTATTTATTAAAATTACTAATGAATGCTGACATAGCAGAAAGTTCCAAAAATCGTTTTCAGGAATCTATAAATAAAACTTTCACGCTCTGACTGATCCTTCTGGCTCTCAGTCTCCGTTTGTTTAAATTAAACTGTTCATTTATTTTTAAACTTTCATTTCCATAAAAGTCAGTTTGTTTTTACAACTTACACATACTGGTTACTGGATTTTCGTCTAGTAATCATTGCAACGACTTAATAATTTCGAATTTTAAAACTAAAAATTTTTTTTAATCATCAAAAAGCATGAAATAAAATCTTTAATCGTCTAAAAAAGTCACAGTCAAGTAAGTCAACAAGTATGTGAATAACTGGAAAGACTACGAATTTATTTACATATGCATAACGTTTAATATTCAATACTTTCAAGAATAAATTGTGTAATGACAAATTGCACATTTCCATCAGTTTAACCCATTAATGCACAAGCAGCGGTTTCAGAACAAAACCGCAACGAAGAAAGAAATGATATTGGAAGTTGCTCTTGAGAAATGTAAATAATTTTCTGACTTCTTCACAAGGGAAACAGATGTTTTTTTATATAATGTTGCTGTCAGGAATTGAATCAAGTCATAGAAATGAAATCTAAACAGTGATAACTAATGTATAATGTCGAAAGTAATAATTATAATAGTTTCAAATTAATAATGTTGTTGATGGTAGTAATAAGAGCAGTGATATTGTTAACAAGAACAACAGTACTGTTTGAATACTAAAAATGCATCTAACTTAAGTGTGTAACTTATACATTAAAAAGCGGGAAGTTCCAAGAGTTAATTGTAGGAATTAGATTACTTCAAGATTTCATAAGAAAGCTTGAGCAGCTAAATGTGACTTTTCTTTAGAAATACCGAAAAAAAATGTGTAAACACAGTTTAGTGCGTTCACACATCCTAGTGCGAAAACACGGTAATGTGTATATATCGCGCTCTTTTTAAAACACATATAGCATTAATTTGTAACTCCACTCATAAATGAAAAACAGATATAATAATAATTTCTAATTATTAATTGAGGAAGCCGCTTAATTACAATGGGACTAGCCAGGAATTATTCGCTTTTGAAACTTGGGAGGAAACACCAATGCTTGATCTATAAGTTAATTCGAACAAATTATGCAAAGTGGTATGTGAGTGATGAAAGAAAGCTATTATTGATTCTTACAGTCAATTATTGACTTTGACTTCAAACTTCGATCAGTGACTTGAAGGTAATTCTGTTTTGGAAACAAGCATTACGTTGAGAATGAAAGGGAGGCCACTGACAGAAATGGAATGAAACATACGCCTAGATATAAATTTGCTCGGTCTATTCCCTTAGCAAAGAGTTCCCAAGAAGTGATAGATTTGTTTTGCTTTATTTTACTCTATTTATTTATTCATTCATTCATATCACTTCATATTTTCTTTTTCGTCCTTTCAAGAGCATTAAACAAAATGACACTTTGTAAAGTTTGATGATATAAAATATACTAACCATTGCATTCATTACATCATCTTATATTTATCGCATAAATTAAGTTAAATGATGATTAAACTATGATTAGAAACGAGATGATTAAACGACGATTAGAAACTAGTCTCCATCGGAATTAAATTTATTCTAAAGAAATAAATCATTTTCAATCTGACAGTTATTTGGGATTTAAATTTTCATGTAGTCTTTATGGTGAAATATTAATTTGATGTTTGTTTGAAGAGTTTCGATGTTGCCATTGTTTTTATAGAATTAACCTGTATTGAGATTGTTCAGCTAGTTCTTCAGTATGTGTGAGAGGCGGAGGCAGTTTGGTTCTCGTTTTCTTCGGGATGAATCGAAAGTATTCGAGCACAACGCATGGGACGACGTGGAATTAAGTTCTGAGCAACAGGAAGAAGCACGCAAGCAGATAGCAGTTCAAAAAGAAGCATATGTTAGCCCTCAGCAAGCCGAATATTTATTGCGAAATGTCTCTCAACAATGGGATATGTTTTATAAGACACATGGCAGTAAGTTCTTCATGAATCGCAACTGGCTCTTCACCGATTTCCCGGAATTAAACGTCAATAATTTGGTAAGTAATTTGGATTATGCGTTAGTTATCTAATGATCAGGAATTAAAGTAAGTGATTCTAGGTTTACAGTGCTTTGATTAATCATATCGCAATTTAATTTTAGTCTGTGTGCTGTGTGGCAATGTTATTGATATAGTTGGAAGTGAAAAATGCCTAATAAGATAGCCTTGCAACTGCTATGTTTTTAGTTTCTGGGTTTATCTAGTTTTAATGCTTTTTAACTTTAAAATCAGTTTAGTTTGATTTTTCATTAACAAACATATATGATTTCTTATATGAAGGAATAAATCGTTGAAAAAATCCAAATTAAAATACGAATTTTTATTCGATATTTTCTAGTTGTCATTTCGTATCAGCGACATCAATATAATTATGATTATTTGTTTACTGCCGTCACTATTATTGCCTTTACTATTGTTATTGTTTCATGTTGAAGGAATCAGATAAACTTGTGCACGTATTAGATGCTGGTTGTGGAGTGGGCAATACGACAATACCATTGCTGCAGACACTTGAACGGTCTGGGAAATTATATTTGTATGCTTGTGATTATTCTCAAAAAGCAATAGATATTCTGAAGGAAAGTATAGTACAGTGGTCAGAAAATTGTAAACCCTTTGTATGGGATATTACAAGCAGAATAACAAGTGTTATTCCGATGGATTCTCTAGACTTTGTTTTGTGTGTATACGTACTTTCAGCACTTCCACCAGCCAAACAACAGCAAGCTGTTAATAATTTAGCTAAGTAAGTTTAATCATATGTATTCTTTATAACTACTGCTATCATTTCGTCTTCGTCCACTTTTCCAATATAGTGATGTATGTTATATATTAATTTTTTATTACTGGCTCTACAAATCTTTAGTTTTACATTTCTTTCGTTTCAGCGTTTTTTGATATGTACTGTAATACTATGCTTTTGTTAATGGGCTTGATAATATTGGAATTAGAAAATATTAAAGGTTCATTGCATCTATTTAATCTCTCACTACATTTTCACTGTTCATATTTATATTTCATTCCTATTTTTTGCATTATATCGATTGTCGCAAATCATTTAAGCCAATAAATATTATTAAATTCAGTAAAATTCAGAAATATCACACGTTTTGTAAATTCCCGCCATAAGCTCTCATTAAGACTACTGCGAGAAAAATAAATCCAAAACACTTATTAGATCATTTTTAGGTGATCCAGTGCTTCTGCTTTGTTAAATATGTGCAAGAACTTTTTGATTTCGAAATTATATCTTGATATGTTGATCAATCCACCATTATTTTTTCTAATAAGGAAAACTCAGTGTTTGTTTGGGTGATGTTAATTATGTATAGAATTATTTTCAGATTATTGAAACCAGGTGGTTCAGTGTTATTGAAAGACTATGCCCAGTTTGATATGACCCAATTGAGGTTCAAGAAAAACCGTTTAATTGATGATAATTTCTATCGTCGCGGTGATGGAACACTTGTTTATTTCTTCAGTCAGGACGAGTTAGATGGGTTATTCATGAATGCTGGATTGAAAAGGGAGACGAATCTGCTAGTTCGACGATTAATTGTTAATAGAGCTAAACGAATTAAAATGTATCGCATATGGGTTCAGTGTAAATATGTGAAAGTTTTATTGTTCTGATAATTACTGGTCTCTTACATTGTATATAATTTAATGTGTTGTGTATTCCGAAATATGCTTTTACTTTGGCTAAAATCTGGACATCTATTATTTTGTATTAGTAAAGTGGTTTCAAGACGTACTGGAACTGAATATTGCAAATGAAGCCTCTCGGATAAGTCGAACTGGCGCGTGGCACTAGCGCGCTTCTCTGCCGACTGGTTATTACAGTTTGTGGGGTGTGGTTTTATGGTCATCTGCAACGAAGTTTAGGAGGAGGTCGGATTGCGTGCTCAAATAGTTGCCCTCAGATTTCTACCACCATTAGGTTCCATCACATCTAGGTACCCGACTAGAATGCAGTAAATTTAACATTTCACCAAAACCGATGCGATCAGGATGAGATTCGAACTCACGCGGGGAAACCCCAATGGATTAGCAGTCCATCGCCTTAACCACTCGGCCACCTGATCAGGTATGTGGGAGCCGATGATTGTATTTTATCAATAACAATGCATGATTTCCATTGTTTGAGAATTAAAGTTTGAAATCTCAAACAGAAGAAATAAATCACAAACTAAAAAGATCGCATCTAAGCGAAAAGACCGAAAAGCATGAGCATCAAGGGTTAGTTCGTAAAACTGATATGAAGTTTGTCAGAAGCTGGCTAGTTTTCCAGTTTAAAAAGATGAAATGAAATTTCTTCTAAAAAAGTGGGGATTTCTGACCGTGTTATATTTTGATGGAGCAATGAGTCACCTTGTATTAGATTGAAATCATTTATGCCTGAAACATTTTTTTACATCTGGTTAGTTGAAGCTCCAACATCAGTGACTTCACTAAACTTCTAAGTAAAATCCAGTTTTTAAAAGGCACAATTTAAAAGTGTGAAAAGCATGAATAACAAGTTTACTATCTCAGAAGTTTGTATCAGTATTGAATTTTTTTCTTTATGTTTTACTCCGATACTTCGAATTTTGAAATTTTTAGGGTAGAATTTAGTATTTGAAGATCTAAGCAGCTTATGAATGAATGCATAAAATTTAAAATTAATGGGTCCAAAAGTTTTATTATTGGAAAGGAAGTTCAGCAGATGCAAAATATTGAAAATGCAAAGTTGGAGACTGTGAAGTAGATTAAGACGACAATGAAATAACCTGAAAAGATTTAGTAATACAAATTTGATTGTTCGCTCTATATTCCTGTCATATTACTTCGCGATATACTTATAAAATGTTTCTGATTTTGTCATGAATTCGATAAATCCTGGTGTTTGGCAGCACCTTAAATTCATTCTTTTGTATTTCGATATTGCGAATGATTTTTTATTTCTTTATTGCATATTTTCAGCCCCATTACACCGTTCCTTCCAAATTCTATTATCTTTAGTATTTATCAAACTCCGATTCTGTTCATTTTGTTCCGAAATCACTTCTTCTAAGAAAGGATAACACAGCAATTAGTAGTGCATCTTTATCATTATCTATTCATGACACTAACATTAGTACAGTTAGAGACAAACTGATGATATCAGTATGACTTTTTAATTTCATTAATTTTGATTCATCTGATTTAAACAAAGCAAGTTTGTGTAGCACTGTATATGGTGTTAGCTTATAATTTTATGCAATGCTAATAAACAGCAGTGTGCTACAGTAGCATGATTTGAAGTAACTGCATTTCGGCTTTTTGTTGACAAAGTTATTTTCTGCACTATACTCCTATAATGTTTATTTAATGAATGCAGTGAAAAAAATAACCTTAAAGCCCTACAAAACTATGCTCGACTACTTATTATATGTGATGTCTGTTTGTTTTTTCTGATTCTCTCAGCAATTATGGAAGAATGAATAAAAATGCTTTCAATTTAAAGTGTTTATATCATTATTTCATTTCTTCGGTTGTTGAATAAATAAAATGATAATTAAGCAACAAAATTTCCTCTTTTTCGTCCATAGAAAAGAATAACAAGGAGATTTAAATCTTTCAAAAAAGATTTTTTCCAATCTGATAACATTTTCATAAAAAGCGAAACATTTGCTTTGTAGATCCAAACAAAAAAATTACCTCATTTCATGTCAGCTATTCCTTTGCAATTTCTGTGAATTTAACGAATTTAGTATTCACCTCCAATTTTATCAATAGACTTTATGAAGAGAAAAAAAAGTTATAAGAGCAGATAGGTCGATGCATTTCAAATTCCTTTTCATTGCAGTCAAGATGCAATGAAAAGTGTTTCAAAGTTTAAACAAGACACATTCTTGTTTTAGTTGTATGCTGGAAAATTGATACTAGCAAAAGACTTAAGGCAAAATCATTGAAATTCAAAAAGAGGTTTAGAACAATTCTGCTTTTTCTTTTCATTTTTCATATCTTCATCCAATTAGGATTTGGATATCTGCCAAAAAATTACAATTACACCCATAATCAGTAAAAACAAAATAAAGTAGTGATAACTTCAACGGATGCAACATCTTTCTGTAGAGATGCCAGTAATATGGTTTTATTGATTAGTGAACTTAGCGATACAAAATACAAAGCTAAAAATTATCCTAGAAAGAATAAGAAAACAAATTGTAGTACCTGGTCACTGCACACATCTTGTGCTAAATCATTTATATGAAAAAATATTTGAACAAATGCTCAGACGCATATTTGCACTTGCTGCAGCATACTGTTGGCGGAAAGTTAACGAAATCCGAAGATTTTTGTGGGAAGAGTGTTACAAGAAAATTAGAATCAAAAATGATTTCCAAACTTTATTGGTGTTGGGTGGAAAGCGTGAAGAGTTAAAGATGTGAATGAAATTCAAAAAGTAGCAGAAATTTCGTTGGCATAAAAACTAAACTGAAAGGTGGTAAAAATTTAAAATTGTGAATTGTTTTTGCACACAACTGTATTTAACAGATTTAGCCTTGTTTTTCACTGTTTCATAAAGATAAGAATGCAATTATGAAAGATCAAAGTGAAAAAAATTTTTTGCCTGCAATAAAGAAATTAGTGAGATCAATAGACAACAAATTGGAAAAAGTAAAAATACTATACAAAAAAATGAATACAAATGACTTGTAAAAGAAGAACAAGAATTGCATTGTATGAAACTTGGGACATACTTTTACAGATTTTTTCGAGATATACTGTTTATGAATTTTAAATGTGTGTCATAAGGATCATAATTAGAAAACAAAAAATAGTTCAAAGACGCCTTAATTGCAGCTGTAGTTTAAATTCTCGTCAGAAACCTATGCCAAAGTTTCAAATTTTTGAAAAAAATTACAAGAGGAAGTTTTTTGATTTAAATTAGAAATAAACTTCAAGAAATGTTGAGAAAATTCTTATGCGGTAAAAACTTCATTTGAAATATATACTTTTATTATTGAAAACAATTAATTCCCTTGATTACTGCTCAGACTGCAAATTTCAAGACGAAAACCCATTATGATGAGAGATGCAACTTTTTAGATAAGAAGTTAAATATGGAAATTACTCAGTTTGCACTGTAGTAATATGCAAAGTAAATTTTTGTTAATTACCATTAGTTGATTTTAAAGTAGTCTGTGAAAAGCTACAGATGTTTCTGAAAGTCTTCAATGTAAAACTATAAAATATAAACTTAAAGCAGGCTGTAATTTCATATACATCCATGAAAAGCGCTAGCTTTGTTGTTAAAAAAATAATGAAACTCATCATATGCGTGTCAGTCAATCATCATTCAGTATTAATTAATATATTATAGTTGTGTTGCAAAAATTTTTCATACGGATAATTTGATTTGTTTGATACCAGGAGCTAATAATACAGATAGTCATAAAATTTAATAGAAAACAATTAGTCGTTCTTGTTTTCACAATTTTCCATTTGTTTAAAAATATGTAACAAATTTGTAACAAAAAAATTATAAAAAGCTTGAAAAATCACTATTGATTAGTGGTTTTTGAGCTAGACCACTTCCTAAATGTAACTACTGTCGTATGAACCAAAGCTTCTGACCGGAAAAAATTTTAGCAAATCAAAAACTTCATTATAACTTCATTTTTTTTCCAATTTTTTATTGTCAAAGATTCTTTTAGTGTTTTTCTCCAGCATTGCATCAATACAATGTCATTTTTTCGGAGGAGCTGACTAAAAGAGTTAAGTTTACAATTTATAATCTATTTTTTTTTGTTAGATTGGATAATTAAAGTGGTGAAAAATATGCAAGTGATAATTAGGATGATTATAAACAGGGACAGCAGTATAGTTATGCCTAAAGGTGCAATGCAGAAAGTAATACGAGACTGAATCAAATAGGAAGGAATCATGCTATCCTGCACTGCTGCCGACTGTTGTAGAGAACGGATAATATCTGGTAAAACAGCATTCTGAAATTGGACGCATGTCAAGCAAAGCCAAACAATAATTTTAACCTCAAACTTGAATTGCAGTAATCAAAAAGTTAACTAGCCTGTTCGGTGATGTCTAGGACGCTGTAGTCAGTTCTGACATCCATCGTATTGTAATCAGCCGATCGTTTCCTGACAAGTCGAACGTTTCGAGGAGAAAGAGCTGAAGCTGCTGGAGCAGGTGCAGCAGCTGACTTTACGATACCAAAGCCTTGGGGTTCAGAGCATTGTGGTCGAGGGCATTCATTGTTCAATTCTTTGACTGTTATGCTAATTTGACACTGATAATATAACTCTGATCGATCAGCGTATTTATAAACATGAGCTTCTTGTCCAGCCATTAAATCTGAGAGCGAATATATCTTTTTTTAATATTTTTAATAATAATTTAATACTTTTTTTTTCATACACTGCAATCTTGATATTTAGGAAGAAATCCAATTCAAAATTATTTATTTATATAAGTTTTAACACCTACCTGTAAGATATTCCAAATTATTTAGTAAATATTTGTCTAGTGCACAGCCATTTTCATCCAAAATCTGCACTGTATTCTCGTTACCGTCATCAACAGTACAAGAATGTACGGTGGCACAAAATGTATTTATTGTTTCTGAATCGCACGTCCATTTGTGATATACAGGTTCTCCAATGGTTGCGAATTTCACAGGTGTACCAGTTGGTCCATCTTGCAAAATCTGACAATACCATGAATGTGGTTGGTATTCTCGGAAAGAAACTTAACCTTAATTAAGTACATTTTGAAAAAGAGTGAAACGGAGAAAAAATTTTTGCAAATTTTTTTTGAATTGAAAATTTGAAAAGAAGGTTTTTATGTAATAGAAAGCCTATCATACCTCATAACGGCAAACTGGCATTGGTACTAATTGAGTTTGAAATAGCGTAGTCATGTCAGATACTTCAATTTCTGTGCTAACGGTTTTATCAGCTTCCATATAAAAGCACTGAATACGATAGGCTCTATCAACTTTTGTAATGAACTGCGGATGAAAGGTGATGACAACTACTGCAGTAACAAAGATACCGCGGGGATTTAAAGAACGTGACCGTGCCACATTGCAAGAATCAATAGGTATTTCTATCCCCGCAACCTGAAATATGCATTTACTCATGTTATTAGGAATATAGTTATCATTCCCATAAGCAAGGTATACAGATTCTCCAATAGTTACAAATTTCACAGGTGTACAAGTTGGTCCATCTTGCAAAATCTGGCAATCCCATGAATGTATTTGGTATTCTCGGAAAGAAGCTTAACCTTAATTAAATACATTTTGAAAAAGAGTGAAAGGGCGAAAAAATTTTTGTCAATTTTTTTTGAATTGATATTTTTGAACGTACTCCGTTCATTTATAATAAAACATCTTCTACGTCATCATTATCATTACTCTTGCACTTCATATCAATTTTTTATGCTATTATCTTACGAAAATTTTATCACTCATTAATTGTTATTCACTTTTTCTTCTCAAGATAAATGTTTCTTAAAATTGCAAGTTTGAAATTAAAGTGAAGTAACATTGTACGGCAATGCACTCCGTTTATTTAGAATATGAAAAATAAATTATAGTCGCATTTTGCTGAGTAGTCCACAAATAGATCATAATTTGTTATTTCAGTATAGTTTAATAATTTTAGATTTTTATTGAATAAAATATACATAATTCTAATTTGCGATTGGTAGAATTGATACAATTCATATTTTCTAAAATCACTTATACGATGATGAAGAATGCGTTCATATAAATTTTCTTGATATGAATAGTAGTAATAGGAAAGAGCAAAAACTACAAATTCATTGTTATATTCTCAGCAATAAAGGCTATGGTAATAATAAAACTGATAATATTAATAATAGTACTACCATTAATAATACAGTGAAAACGAAGAATAATAGGTGTTACTATAAAAATAATAATCAGTGCTGAAAATAATATAAGTAATAATGATGATAATGTATTTCTGATAACAATAAGTGTGATACTGTTACTGTCATTCATCTTGATAATTTTCCCTTGCCGATATTTATATCAATCATTTTAATTTTACCGCCCTTTTCATGACAAATGTTTGTGCATTCATTGCTTTGGGTGCTGCATATTTTATTCTCAATTAAGAAAGTTCATCATCGAGGTTGAATTTAAGGAGTATATGAGAAGCCGATAAAAAATAATAACTGATTAAATTTTTGCTTTTGAATATTGCATAAAAATTTTGTAGAACATTCCTACTACTACTGGATTAGCTCCCAGTTTCTAATCTGAATAGTCCTATAAAAGGGTTTGCTCTTTTTATAGTAATGGGAATCTTTGATTTTGGACTGCATAGCTTGGAGGAATACTGAAAGCAATGAAATATTAAAACTGATGAAATCTTAAAAATTCATTTAAGACAATGTTAGTTGAATTAAACCTGTCGTTCGTCACCATTTGTGCGACACTCGTTATGATCGTAAAAGCCTTTAACGTAAACATGCCCGTGAAATCCATTTCTTGTATTGACATTGATTGAAACTGAAGTGGGACCACATTCTATTTCAGGTTCACCTTCCACACCATTGTCGACTGGAATGGTGTACACGTGGATGAAAACAGAAAAGAGCAATATCGTCGATTGTATCATCATTCTTACCAACTTAAATGAATATGATATTAACAGTAGAAGCTAGAGTTCCTGTTTAAGAAAATTGACGGTACCCTTGACTAATTATAGTTGAAAATTACAACGCTGTAAAAAAATTATTGTGATTTTAATGATAATGCTATTATTCAGAATTGAATTGAGATTAGCAATAATAGCAATGCTTAATTTTTAAGTGATACCAATAATAGTTATAATTGCTACTATCCTTATCATGAATATTGATCGTGATTATGATTGGTATAAATAGATATTGCTCAATGAAGATAAATTTAGATTAAGAAAATAAAATAAAAAAGTGAAAATAACCAGTGAATTTAGTATTTATATCAGCCTTAAGGGGGTGGAAAGATGCGCAACTTTGTTATGAAAAAGTTTTCTCCCAAATTTTTCCTTCATCTCAGAGGGTCACCATTATCCTGTTTTTCAGCATTCAGATGGTCGTAATGAAAGAAAGCCTTTCTTTCCTTTCAATCCTTAAAAGTTTCATGAAAATGATGAAAATTTCACCGCAATCTTTACCATTTTTACAAACCTTTATCAGCAGTATAAAATCAGGAATGCCATAGAAAAGATACATTTCATTTGGAGGAACAGCTTTTGGCGATCATATTTTCTCTTCCTATTTACCTAATATTTGCACACAATTCTTCTTGCTAATATTAATTAATAGTATTAATAACGATTAAAACAATAAAAACAATATCAACAACAACAACACAAATAATAACAATAATAACAATAACAATAATAATTATTATAATTATTGTTATTTTATTATTATTATTATTATTGTTATTAAACGAAGTAATTTAGTTCAGCTTTCTTTTAATTTGATGGCCAAAATAAGTGAAAATATTGATATTTATGAAGCTGTCTGACAATAGATTTCTTACGTTAATAATAGACTAACTATATGTTTCATTTTTAGCCGTCAAAATGAGTTCCCTTAAAATTTTCGGAGCATTTAAGCAACTGATGATCACGCCTGACCCATTAATCGTCCTAAATTGTGAATTAAACATACCATATTATCATATTATGATCTTAATCTTTCTCTTCACTACATCCATATCACCAAGTAATATTTATTATTTCTGGTCCATTTAAATTTTGTTGCAAATGACATCACTTATATTCGAAGTCAGAAAATTAGCGAAAAGATCTTGATTTCAAAAATCGCGCATTTTTCAATGTCTGTAATTTAATAATAGCATTTGGTTCCATTGCCATCTGCACCAAACTGCATATGTCATTTTCTAGTCACTGCATATTACAAAGTAAATATATGCTGTTCAGCACCAAAAATTTTCACGTATGAAATCATAATTTGTTTTTTGTTACTCGACGAACTTACATCAGTCCGTGGCACACAAAACTATCAATTCTGTTTTATGCAAACTTACCATTATAGTTATTATTATTATTATTATTTACAAAACAAGAGCCAAATTTTTCTTCTCCAAAAATTCATTTTTAGAATACTATTTTTTATAATGGTAAATTGTTTCGTATCTCATTTGCATGTATGCTCATGATACATGCAAATGAGCGTACGACAGTATCATTTTTTGCTAAGTAAAAAGTATTTTGCAATTGTTTGAACATTTTTCTGCCGATCTGATCTAACAAATTGAACAATCCAGCTAATTTTTTGCAGTTTGACTTTTTAAATTATCGATCATTTTTTAAATTGAATTTCAGTTTAGTATTCTACTAAACTAAAGCAAAAAACTCTATCTAATATACTAATAAATAAGGTCATTGCCTTTTCATGATGTCATCGGTTTGTATGTAATCTAGATACATTCAAAATCCAGCCTTTTAATTTTGTGTCTAAAATAAAAATTTATCACCCTGTGTTTAAAATAAATCAACCCTTTCTTTCTTCGATCACTATTTTCGATTATTTTTCGCCCACACAATATTTAAATTTAAGAGAAGTTACGTGATATCGTATATTTTGATGTGAAATACTTTCAGAAAAGGGAAATCCATGATATCGTGGAAATCTTTTTTTATCTCATTTACAAAGTTTGCCCAGAAAAAAGCACTAGTTTCAAGAAAAAATTTAATGTTTTTGCTCTAAAATCTCTAATATCTTATATTAGATGAAATATGTTACGATATATTATGTTATGTTATTTTGAAAATTGGTTGAAGTTTTTATCCATGATTTCATTTAAGCTCAGAATGTTAAAAGGTGAAGCATAATTATGTAAATATTTTACGTCGTCTTGTAGAAAGTACAGAATTTATTTCTCTGTACCTAAAGTAAATAAAGCAGCGTCTTCAGGGTGATACGATTTAAAAAATAACTGATTACATTTATTCGAAAGTGACACTCATAGGTCACCATTACCTTTTTAATAGTAGTCACTGTTCAGTTCATATTTAATATTTATCATCATTCCACAGTCACTATTATTTTAACAATTTTTTGCAGTACATTGAAAGAAATTTTGTTTTCAAAAGTGCGGAAGCTAATTCGATAATGGTTTTACTTAATGAATGCACTAAAGAAACGGATTTTGTTTCTACTATGTGACAAAAGAATGGAATTCCAATATTTGCCACTTTAAAAAGTGCGTATTTTTGCATTAATCTGAAAATTTTTTAAGCTGATTGGATTTTCCAATTAAAAACTTTCCTTCACCATTTATTTTTGTAGAAAAAACCACAGAACGGTTGTTAGAAACCATCACTTTTTGCTGCCAGTGAGCAGTTTAAAAATGATTTTTGCAAAGTGAAAACAAGATGAATATAAAAGCAAGAAGTGGATTTCATTCACAGTGTTTTTAATTGATAAAAATCTGTAATGTCAGTAAGTGAGAGTGAATTATTTCTTTCTAACTGTTCTAATTTCCTTAAAACACCTAAATTTCTTTGCTTTCCTTTAACATACTAGTTCATGGCTTTTTGCAGTTAGTTTTGATTTTGACCGGTTGTGAAAAATGTAATAAAAATTGCAAGAAAAGAATTGAATTTTTAACATTTTTTTACAGATGGGAGAATTTTTTTTCGGAATAACAATAATTTTTTAATATCTAAAAGGAAGTATGCGTTTAATTTTCTGATTTCTGTTGGAGAATAATATCTTTTTTCAAATGATTTACATAGGCAGGGAATCAGTGTTAAATCATATGTTAAGTGAAATAGTATTCATTTGTTTAATTAGTGCCTAGATTCACTGCATTCACAGCAATATCATGCATGATTCACATCAGAATCTCCATTTTCATCTTAGATTGACCTAGTTTCCTTTTGTATCTGTTCTTGTTTTAATGATAAAAAAGAGCTCATTCTTGTTGCTTTTTGTTTCTAATTGAAAAAACAGTAGTAATAAGTGAACAATGACAATGACATTAAACAGCAAACCCTTATGAAATACATCACAGTACTTAATTAATAAAAATCTATTCCCAAGTCGCATATATTTATAGGTCTAATTGATAGTGTAATCGATGTGAGCTGAAGAGATTTTATTTTTGAATTGCTTAAAAAATTAAAAAATTCTTAAATTTCTTTTCACACATGATTTCAGAAACAACTGGCAATGGAACATTATTACGAACCAGAATTATTATCGTATCTTGCAGCAAATATATCCTTCAAAAAATCTTCTGTTTGACATAGGTACGAGCAAGAAAGCTTTCTTTATTATTATCATTGTAATAATAATATTATTAAACGCTTCGGCTTTGCCGAGAAATTGAGAGGTCGATTCTGAGTGACTGTATTTAAGAAACATAACATGGTGGGTAAAGGGAAAAACCCACTTCTGTAATAAATGAAAAGAATAAGAAAACAGATCAGATGAGACAGAAAAAAAGCTCCGTGAAAAGTATGATAAAGCACTCTGCATCTGTCCTGGAACCATGTGCCTATAGAATCAGAATAATCACACCAGAAGCAAGGCCGTGGAATCGAGATTTCACAAAGCAGGTGGCCAGGAGAAGTGTTGAAAGCGGTCCTTGACCGTTTTGGAAGGATGCCGAAAGGGAGAAGGCCATTGCGTCGTTCTCTGTATAGTGAGAATGTTTTCTGTGCAATTGCTCTCCAAGAACTGAATAAGCAAGCGAATTCTACAGTCATTACTATTTTAAGTCGCCCGTGCTCACATAGCCGATTCTTGGAAAAGCCAACGAAAAGCTATCAGTGAAAGCTACGATAAAGTCTGAGCAGAAACTTCAGTGAGAAATTGAGCGATTAGCCAAAGCTACACTAAATGGTAAGAACTTTATCAAGGCGGTGAATGAACATGCTATAAGTTTAATATATTATTACATTGGGATGCTCAAACTGGAACCAGAAGACTTTACAGCTATGGACAGACAGTTACTAAATAAAGACAGGATTCATAGTCAAACTGCATGTTTAGAAAGACTGTACTTGCCAATGGACGTGCTAGAATATGGATTACATAATGTTGAGCAAAGGAGTGAGCTTATGCTTCTGCAACTACATAATGTTCTTGTAGATACCGTACCTTATTTAAAGACTAAGCACAACCTCACACTTATCGTGGAAAACGTATTAGCAGCCCAGAAGGCGTTCTTGCATAGCGAAGTAGAAAAGAAAATCCACCATGCAAAAGTATACAAGATGGGGACGAATAAATTCTCGTCCATAGTTGATTCATCAAAGTGACTGTGATACGGAAACATTACCCCGCAAGATGAGGCACGATACTGTTATCTCCAAGATAGAAATATGTTTGGGGCTGAGAAAGGTACGTGCCAACATTTCAGGGAAAGTGTGAAGACCATCTAGCAACGCAGTGT